TGTAGATGGTATAGATTTAGCTGTTGGATATGAAAATCTATCACTTGATATTGAAGAATTTGAAAATAAATCTGTTTTAATCTTAGGTTAAATTAAATGAAAATAAAACAATGTTTTTTGTTTTTGCTATTTAAATTAATAATTTAGGTAGAGGAAATTCAGCATTTGAAGTCGCTCAACATATTTATGATGCTACTAATTATATTCATATGATATCACGATCACGTGTACGAAATGCTTATGCAACACATTATGTTGGAGATTTAAGGTTTGAAGAAAACAAAACTCTTTTTTTTTAAACTCTCTAATATGTATTTTTATAGAGCTATTAATAATCAATTACTTGATACATATCAATTGAAATCACTTGATGCTCTTGTTGAAACTGATTTAATGGAACATGAACTATCTCGTAGACCAGGCGATGGTCGTATTCAACTTAAACGTAAAAAACTTGCTATGGATCCATCTATTCAAGAACGACAAGAAACAGCAACTTATGATCTAGTTATTCGATGTTTAGGATTTAAATTTGATGAGTCTATTTGGCATCCGTTAGTATAATTTGTTTCCGTTGTTAGAAAGAAATAAATGTCTTCCGGAAAGGCTATTTAAAACTCCAGGAGGACTAACCCAATCTTTGAAGAGACGTTGACTTCTCAGCTCTCACGCTGGATAAAATACTGACTTATATAAAGTCGCCTTTTTGTGAGAGATACAAAAAAATCTAACTATCTAAGTTAGAAAGTCAATATAATCTATTGTGTGAAAGTTTTGGTACAAAATATACGCTCATTTTTCGGTCACTAGAAGACAACTGATTAGAGTTATTTAGAATCAGAATTTTCGCTATTCCGAATATATATTCCAATTTTCCTTTTGTGGTAAAATTGAACAACTGTTAATAAATTTCGTAAAAGAAAAAGTTCAAAACTGTATCTGTACAAAGCAAAATAGAGGCTTTAGCTTAGTTCTTTGTTTATGTGGTTTCGTTAATTCAACATTTATTGTAGAATATTAAATTCTGTACAAAATGAAGATATTAAGATAAGCAATATCTCTTTCCACTAAAGAGCTATGAAAATCAACATTGATCAAAAAATCACTCTTTTATTTAAAAATTCAGAAGTTTTAAAAGTCGTCATGCAAGATAAGATAGAAAACTGTTAGCACAATCTCTGTGAAATTAAAATATGAAACACGATGTAACTGCTGTTACTAATCACAGCGAGATTTCTTTATTATCCTTTTACTTAATACTCCAGAAATGCAATAAGGAAATAATTCATACATTAGAACGGGACGTTATTGATTTTAAGATTTGTGGAAGAAAGGGGATGGATTCAAATTTTTATCCTTATACTTCAACACTTCTTTTAGACCGTATTTCACAAAAAGTAAATAGCACACTTTGTGACTGAATCATTAACAAATTTTTTTTTGAAACAATCTGATGGTAGTTGTTCAATGATATCCTAGAAGGAAATTCTGAACATATCTTCCGAAAAATCGGATTATAACAAACTGCTCCTGGATTCTAATCAGTTGTCTACTTAAGTGACTGAAAAATGAGTGAATATTTTGTGCCAAGACTTTTACACTATAAGTTATATCATGAGTAATATATATTTCTTTTTTATATACAGGGATATTCAAATAGAAAAAAATCTTGGTCGAACAAAGAAATATCCAAAAATTCGTTATGATTATCAATCATTCAATTATGATCATTTATATTTTGCTGGTACATTAATACATTCAATTGATTTTCGAAAATCATCTGGTGGATTTATTCATGGTTTTCGTTATATAACTCGAGCACTTCATCGAATATTTGAATATCGTTATCATGAAAAAAAATGGTCATCAATTATTTTATCATGGTTTTCATTAACAAATTATTTAATTAAAAGAATAAATGAAGCCGATGGAATCTATCAAATGTTTGGACAACTAGTTGATGTTATATTAATTGATAGGTACTTAAATTCTTTTTTTTTTTTTTTTTTTTTTATACGTTATCTTTATTTTTTATAATATATGAATAGAATAAATTATCAATGTCGATATCTTGAAGAATATCCAGTACGATTACTTCCACGTTTAGAAGAAATAACAGGTTATAAATTTGACAATTTATTGATATTAAATATGCAATATGGCATGAATTATTCTGGAGCCGGTTAAGTTTTGAGTTTTTTTTTTCTTCTTGTTTGGTTTGAACAATTATTCATTTAATTTAAATTCATAGGTCGTGATGTATTTGCATTTGATCGTGTTTCTGCCTCAGTAAATACAGCAGATCGATCGAATTTTCTTCATCCTGTTCTTTATTATTATGATTCTCCATTACAAGGTAAATTCAAATTATTGAATAAATAAAAAAAAAAAAAAGGAATTTATGTTTCTTTTCATTTAATTAGAAACAGATTTTGATAATGTTAAATCTGGTTTTTTACCTTTGATATCATCCGTTCGTATACATCATATTATTGAAAATGTTCTTACATTATGGATGCAACCTGATGAACATATTTTACCATTGAGAATATTTCTTGAAAATATTCTTAATATTAATTTACAACAACGAACAGTTATTTCTTATGCACGAAAAAAAATGCTTCAACAAAAATTAACAATTCCTGTTCGATTTTATGCAGCAGCTTAAAATAATTTATTTCATTTTTAATAAAAACCAATAAATTTTCTATAAGAAAGTCTTCTATTCAATATAGAAATTTAAGAAAAAATGTTTTTCTCTAGTGTATAAATTTATTTTTGAATCGAATATGAAAAAGATAAGAGAATTGACGGATTTTTTGCACGAAGTTTTTTACGAACAACACTAAAATCTCATAAATACATCGAAAAATTATGATGAAAGATTGATATTTCTAATGGTTTTATTTTATATGAAAGAAAATTTTTTATTATTATAATTTTTCAATTCAATTTATCTCATCATATTCATTCTCTTCTTTAATTGTTTAATCAACTCTTTATATATTTTAAATTTCAATTATTATACAATAATGCGGCGTTTCATTGCTGTAAGCAACATCTTCAGACAAAAAAATACAATACATACATTAAACTATACATTTTACAATAGAATAAGTAGCAAACAAAGCATATGGTTATTTTTCTTTTTCTTTTTTTTTTTTGTCTTAATTTTAATAGTGATACGAAACAAGAAGATAACAGTAATGGACTAAATTGATGAATTATTTCCGTATCACTATTAAAGTTAAGAAGAAGAAGAAAAATAACCATCTATACTTTGTTTTGTACTTATTCTATTGTAAAGGTATGTGCATTGTATTTTGTTGTCTGAAGAGATTGCTTACAGCAATGAAAAGTCACATTATTGTATAATAATAAAAATTAAATAATATATTATACGAATTATGACTTGTTTATTTATATTTAAATTCATCACTTCTTTTAAAAATAGTGTTAAATCATCTTATATGGGAAAGTGAAAAAATCATCTTGATTATAAAAGATATTTTAGTTCGTCTATCACACCTGTTCAATTGAATTAGTTGAATTTTCATCTGATAAAGAAAAATGAATTAAAATAATACATTCCTACATAGTGATAATATTTAAAACAAAAAAAAGATAAAAAGAAAACAATTTCTATCATTATAAATTTTATATATACAATATATTAGGAACCTAAGTTATTTATTAATAGATAGGATTTATAGTCATTTATTGGCAAAAAAAGAAAGAAATATAATCTTATTCTAAAATCTATAATATAAATCAAGTGTAAATACGATTCAATCTATCATTGATTCTTCTTCTTCTTCTTCTTTGCACTTAATATTCTATTCTTAAGCTTTTAGTTTGACGATTCTATGACGTACAGACATTAATTCGTTCCAGATTTGTTACTCATATCATATATATATGTGAAGAATAGACAGTCAGACGTAATTTCACTTCAATTTTTTTCAATGAGATTCTCTTCATCAGTCAAATGAAGAATATTCTGTGCTGTGCTGCCTGGGTGGTAAGTGTAATTTAAGCTATTCAGTCAATTCTCTTTCTCTTGTGACTAGATCTATCTAATTTCGTTCATCATCATTCAATGCCTTTACTATCCTAAGTTAATCATTCGCGTAAAATGATCACACTTTCAACAACAAAACATCCTTACACGTTATATATACATATATATATATATTCTCTATTCATTTCATTTATTTTATGTATGTATTCATATAATATACAATTTATATATATATGCAATTTCATCATTCTTATGAAATTATGCAATAAATATATAAGGATCAAATATGCGATTAGATTTCTTGTTTTTTTCTTCTTTTCTAGATTACAATAGGGGGGAGATCATTCAAGCGATAACACAAGAAATAAAAAGGAATATGTCTTTTTTTATAAGTGTTGCCATCGATTTGAACTGACATTCTTTTCTTGTATTTACGCATAAGTTAAAATGAAAATTTTGACCCTATTTTACTCAGCAGTATGCCAACCATTCGACAGTTTTAAGAGACACTCAGCCAACATGTCACGGTTCATTAATGATTATCGACACCTATTTTATGTTTATGACATAAATGAAATCATCACTAACAGATAGAACCAATTGAGACAGGCGCAACAAAATTAATTCATTTTTATTTTAATAATCAAAACATGTTCTTTTTCTTTTTGTTTCCTTCCTATATCAATATGTTTTATTAGGATTACATTAATCGTCCTATCACTTGTAGTAGCAGTTACGGGTCATTGTCAAATGTCCGAAGAGATAAATTGTATGCAGTGTATATATATATATAAATACATGTGGAATACATACAGCACCTCTTCTTTCAATGAATATAAAAACAAAGAAGAAACGATGATGATGATCATGATGAAGAAGAAACTACCGCTCTTCTTTTGTTCTCTGATGTATACTGATCATCATCATCAGCTCGTTTTTCAGTCTCGCGGTAGATTTCTTCAGCCTACAAAAGAGTCAACTTCAGAACGAAAGAGAAAGAGAGAGAGAGCAAGAACGAGCAAACGACTGTTCGTTCATATTTTTCCTCTCGTTCTTACTTCGTCTCGCCTTTCTCTATCGTTCCACTATTATTTATGTAGGAAAGAGAAGAAGAGAAAGAAGAGATCTACATTTTCTCTCTTTTGCATCTCTAAACGAAGCGTGAATACATTTTTTTTTTTTTTTTTGATATTATTAAATAGAATCACGAACTGTACATACAAAACATATCTCCAGACAGACGAAGACGAACTGTACAATTGTTGTGTTTGTTTTTTTGTTGTTTTTACAATGTTACTATTTCTATTTTTAATAATTTCAATATTTTCAACTACATCCGCTGACAATTCAGGTAAAAAAAAAAAATAAATAATCTTTTTAATGATTACATCAGAAATTTATTCTATTCGAATGCACCAGATGATGATTGAGTAGTCATTGTATGGAACCAGTTTGTTCTTTCAAGCATTCAAATAGAAATGAAAGTGTTTTTTAATTAAATAACTAAGAAAAAGAAAATATCTATGCACATCATTTTAAAGTATAATAACAATAACAATAGATTACGTCAATAACTTTTAGACATGATTTTAACACCTCAACGTGATAAGTAAAAGATTAACACAAAACGGAAATGAATATTATATTGATACCGGCGACATGTTCATTGTTAGTTAAACATAAAAATTGGATAAGTTATTGTCATTAGACGACACATGAGAAAAAGAGAAGAGAGAGAGAGAGAGAGAGAGAGAGTGTTTTTGTCTGAAGTATGTTTAGAAGAAAAGTGTATGTCCATCCATCGATTTTTTTTTAGACACCCTACTATGAGAATATAATAAATGTCTTTGTATTTGTTAAGAGATACTCAATTGGAACGAAATGAAATCTATATCATATAAATCGATCGAACAGAAGATGATTAACGAATGACTTATAGATGATGATAGTTTGGTCGATTTTTACCTTGTACTAATTTGAAAATAAATGAGATATATATATGTTGATAGATAAATAGATGAAAGAATCAAATTCTCATCTAGACAACAAAAAAAAAAAAAAAAAAGAAAAATAACTCAAAATAAGATACGATTATCTACTAAAAGAAGAAATATTCTGATAAGTTTTAACTTTGTTACTCTCTCTATTGATCATCATTCTTGTCGACATTCCACGACAGAAACTAATCGGTTACATACTTTTACATATATAATTATATCGTGCTCTTTTCATGACAAACTAAGATTGTATGTTGTTCTTTCTTACAGATCAACCAAAATTTGATCGGTCACATGAAACTGTTTCTGTTGTTGTCGGTAAACGAGCATTATTACCATGTTATGTATCAATAAAAGACTCTAGTAATAGTCCATTTAAAGTAATTATTATATATATATATATATTGATAAAAAGAAAAATGTCTAAAAATTTTTACATATATATATATTCAGGTTATTTGGATGAAATTAAATAATAGTTCAATATTAACTATGGAAGATCGAGCTATTAATGGTGATCCACGTATATCATTATTACATGCATATGCAGATGAATGGAATTTACAAATTGATGATATTGATGAAGATGATGCTGGAATTTATCAATGTGTGATTAATACAGGCATGTATAAAACATTAACATTAGATGTTAAAGGTAAACAAAAAAAAAAATGAAAATAGAACAAAAATAAAGACTGAAAAATTTTAGTTCCACCAAAGATAATTGATGAGCTAACAACAGAACCTTATCCATCACCGATAAGATCAGGCTCAAATTTTACAATAAAATGTTATGCACATGGTAAACCAATGCCAAAAATTCGCATTCTTTCATATGATCAATCAGACAATGCTAAAAGTATGTTACCCTAAGGAAAAATTTTGTATTATTTTATCATCACGGAAATTATCAGTGAATTAAGTGATGATCGGTTTCTTTTTTTTTTTTTTTTTTTTGTTACATCATTAACTATGATTTTCTATTTTGAATTTATTTCATGATAATTTTTATCTTTTGATTAAGAGAGAATCTCTTAAAATAACATTGTCTAATTGAACAGTTGAGGTCTATCGGACATTTTTTTTTCTTTTTACTTATATGTATATATAGAACAACAAAAACAATACAAAGAACTTTATATTAGTTGTGTCGTATAAAGAGAGGATAATTGAGCCACTCGACCCTGTAGAGGCTTCGCATTTCATTGGGTTCAATGCATTATATATATTTCTTTTGTTTCAATCTATAATAGTTATTAGTAATGAAAATGAAGTAACACTTTATGATGTATCTCGTCATACACGTCGTCGTTATGAATGTATAGCTAATAATGGTTATCCACCAGATGTAGCACGTTCATTTCAATTAACAATACAATATGTACCTGAATTAAATCTTGTTTTTCAATCAAAAACAAATGATGAATTAACATTATCAATATTATTTATTGATTTAAATCAAAATGATATTCGACTTAAATGTCGAATAGTAATGAATCCATTAGATAAAATTTATTGGACAAAAAATAATCGTAAATTAATAAATAATCATCATATACATCAATATGTATCAACTTCAACGGAAAATTTTATTATATCTGAACTTATTATAAAAGAATTTTTACATGAAGATCAAGGTGAATATTCATG